AATTTGCAATATCGGCGGTGCCGGACCGTGCTCAGAGCCGGGCAAGCTGGAGCTGGAGCCGAGTCTCTTAGCTTTATTCTGAGCAGTAAATCTGGGCACTGGTGTGAGTTTGGCCTTTGGCAGAGGGGTAAAAGTAATAAGGGTTGGGGGGGGGGAGAGAAGCAAGAAGGTAAGTGAAAAATACAATCCAATTTCATTATATCAATCACATTTAATTGGCAATTTGTAGGAGCAATGACCGGGCAGGCTTTAGGTAAAACTATTAGGGCGACAGGCGGGTATGCTACTAAAATTCTTGGTTAGTTAATTAGTGTCTGAACTGCAGAGAAAGGATCCTCAGATTTACTTTCTACAAAGAGAGAGCAGCCCAGACAATTCATTAGGCAGGCGGCTTGTAAATTAGAGCTAAGTTAACCTGATTTCCCTTAATTAAAACATCTTTTCTCGTTTACGATGTGGATATAAGTAGATCTCCAGGGTTTTGAATTTTCTGCTACAGCAGATGGTCAGCTAGAAGCAGATAATAGTTAACGCTTTCCCTCTACCAGATCTGAACAACGTGAGCCGCTGGCCCGTCGGAGGATTAAAAAAAAGAGAGAGAGAGAAATAACAAAGAGCCGTTAACCCTTTCGAGTCTTCCTGGCTGGAGGCTCCAGGGAGGGGCCTCCTCCCAGCCTGAGGGGAAACCACAGAGCGAAGTGGCCAGGACACAGGGACATTGGGCCTCAGATGTGGAGGGCCTGGCAGCTGGGATGTCAGGGGAAAGTGGCCGTGGATGTCTTTCCGGGAAGGGACTGCTGTGCTGTCCTGTGCTGTCCCTCTTCTGTAGATGGGGCTTCGCAGTACCTGACCGATCGATGCCTGGCACTCCGGCCGTCTGCCCTCCATAGCTATCCAGGCCGCTCTTTCCAGCCTCCAGCTCACTCTGATACTCAAGCTTTCCTGGGCCCAGCGGATCTACAGTCCATCTCAGGTCTCTCTGGCTGGCACAGAGTGGCTGGACTTCAGGGCAGTCCCCTGGGGCTGCAGAAAAGTGTGGATGGGTCCTTGGCCAGCCGTCTACTAAATGGCCTGAGTTGCTTTGCTGAGGAAGAAGTGGAGGCCCAAGGCCTCTGGAATCCTTAAAAACAGTCTTCCTTGTAAAGTCTGGGAAGGGCTCAGAAGCTCTGAGTCCCCAACACACAGACCACGGGCACCAGCAGCACAGGTCCAGGCTGGGGTCAGTCCTCAGAGAACTGACTTCTAAAGCAGCCTGGCCCAGTGGCCATCAGAAGCCTCTCCCTGGACGCAAGGCACAGCTCTGCCACGGGGCCAGAACCACTAGCTGGATGCCAACCCCAGGTCCCTTCTGAGCTGGCAAGGTCCTATTTGCTACACAAAGAACTCCATCACCCCAGGCTCTTACCTAGTGCCAAGCCCTAGGAGGCCTGTATCCCCAACCTTCTTCTGGATCTGTGGGACCCCCTTACTTTGGCTCCTGTCCTGCCTAGAGGCAGCTGGCTTCAATTTCGTTGGCTTAGATAGGGGTGGGGGTGTCACCTGGATGCTAGCTGGTGAACAAGGCCTAAGGTGACTCGGGTTTGGGGCTGTCTGGGAGGGGGGCAGGGGGGGGAAGGCTGGTACAATGACTCACAGGAGGGCAACGCGGCACAGATTGAATTTATAAAATACAAGGCAACCACTGGAGCTAAAATTTTATTGTTTATAAAATATTAACCTCCTTATTACTTTTCATTGCACTTTCAAATAAAGCACAGCAAATTAGAAGCAGCCTCCGAAACAAATCCATGGGTGATTAAATCAGAAGATGTGTTTGAAAGAAGGAAGGGTTGGGACAGAGGGAGATGGGGAATGGGGGGGGGTGAGGAAGAGGAAGATAGGCTCTGCCCGGGGCAGCTGGAGGCCAGCCATCAGAGGCCCCTCCGGCTTGGCCTGGTGGGGGCACAGATCCAGTAGACTTTCAATGGGGTAGAAGAAATACAGAGGAAGGGAGCTACAGACACCGGAGGCTCTGAGGTGTAAAATAACTAAATCTGTTGGTTAGCGGGACTTTAGGAAATGGGGGGGGGCGCGACAGAGTAATAAAAAGCTTTCTCTTGTCTCTTTGTATGGGGTGACATATTGAAGGTTGTGTGTGTGTGTGTGTGTGTGTGTGTGTGTGTATGCTTGAAAAAAAAGTTATAAAATTTGGATTAAAATCTCCAGGCCTATAGGGCTGCCTTCTGCCCCTCAATGAAGAATTCTAAAACTGTTTTTTTTTTTTTAGTAGAAGAGAAATGAACTGATTTCCAATTCAAATCTCCTCCCCCCTTCTCTCCCTCTCTCCCTCTCTCTCTCCACACTCTGAAGGTGTTGCAGAAATGAAATGGGGGCTATCTGAAGATTTGGTTACATTTTCTCTCTCATTGTGTTAAATTACTAAATTGAAGTTTTATAATAAGGAATAAGTCAAATTGCAAAACCCCCATCAAATGGAACTGTGATTAACGGAAAATGCAGG